GCCCAGTTTTCATCTCATGTTTATCTGTTAGGCTGAGAGATGGTCAGATGGACAATTCTCTGGAGAGAACTGTCTCTCATTCACGAGCTAGCACTGAACACCACATTTTAGTCTACAGGTTAAGGATCATATGAACTGATTTTTGAAAAGGAAAATTATGTGAAGAGTGGCGAGAAGGCCAAGGAGAAAGCAAAGGGTGAAAAAAGTTATGGTTCACATTCAGTTTACACTTGGAGGAAAAATGGTTTGTTTGTATTTCATAAAATTGGAAGGATCTACTACTTATGAAGAAGTACACAGAACACTAGTACACTCTAGTGCGCATTTTCCTCTGGGTCAATATTATATTTAAGAACACAGCACTTCATAACTTTGTACGTGTAAAATGTCAGACATAGTGTGTGATAAACACAAGAGAAACTATGATAAGTTGCTCAAAATGTTGCAGTTTGGAAGTTAGATTGGGGAATATATTATAAAGCTAATTTTCATTCAATCCTTGGGAGGAAAGATAAAAACTTAAATGTCTGCACAGCAGAAGAAGTCAGCAAAGGTGAAAACCACAGAAGTTCTTTGCTGTTTGTGGGAGGTAATTCGTTTCTCATTGACCTCTTGGGATTCTGATTACTATTTAAGTTTCTCCAGTGAAATTTTTTCTAGGAGAATTAGCTCCCAAGGAAAAGCTAGGAGGTTTTTGTTTTTGTTTTTGTTTTTGTTTTTTTAACTTGAAAAAAGACAGGACGTACATACTGCTTTACAACTGTTGGCAATCAGACTTGCAGTCTTCTTGAATGTCTTTTCAAGGTAGTGTGCAAATCTTTCATTCTCATTTTCTTTTGACCCAAGCTGAAGAAATTCACCTATAAAGAAAGAAAGGGGTCATTTGAGATATGGATTTTTTTTGCCTGCCAAAATCCTAGGAGATTAAATAAAAAAGAAGAAAAGTCAGAATTAACCTACCACGCACCAAATCTTCAATCACCTGGGTTAAAATAGATATAACAGTTGTATTTCCAGTGCGTGCCAGAGCCATCGATGCCGCAGAAAGAATTAAATCCCCAGCAAGGACAGCCTAGAAAAGAAGAAAAACTTAAAGTATCCGAGCATTGGAGCCAATGAAGTTGACTTCTCAGAAGAGAAACATTGAACGGGAGGGCGGGGTCCCCTTGGGTCTAAGATTTTCCCCCTCCTCTTCCTCAGCATGATGGTATCAGTCACAGATGTGGGAGGTGTTTGAACTGGATTGGCTCTCAGAGATTACGGGGTCTGTCTTTCCAGTTCAGAGCTGAAGGAGGCGGGAAGTAGCTGACCCTCTGGCTTCATTCCTGGCCCTGGCAAAACGGCAAAACACAGCTGCCTTTAGTTTAGTTACGCTGGACCATTCGCTCTCCCCTCAAACCAGGCGGTTTAGCCTCTGCACTTACTGTTTTTTTCTGCTCAATAAGTCTCTCCCCTTCTTCACCTGGCAGACTCATTTGCATACTCAGGTGGCACCTACAGGAAGTTCACTCAGACCCTCTGTCTCATCTTCTGTGAACACGGCATCCCCTGGACACTGTTGTCTTCCCACATTTTTTTCCTATTTACAAACTCCTAAGGGCATGGACTGGGAATTGTCCAGCTAGTATGCAGCATGCACCAGCGCCTGGCACAACCCACGCTTTTCTCAATGAAAACTAACCAAGGAATCTTGGCTCCAAGCTCAATGATCTTTGTACCCCATGACACTGCCCCTCATTCCAGGACAAAAAATCTTTTTCACTAAACCCTAGACAACATTTTTCCAATCTTCTTTAGATTGTGAGTACATGTCTATACTGTATTTAAAACTAATTATAAATTATGCATGATTGAATTGCACGCTGTAATCAAATACACTAATCTGCACAAAGACATGCATAAGTGTTACAGAGTAGCTATAAATGACAGAGTTCGTGGAGCTCTTAATTCATGGAATTGGCAACATTACCACATTTTAAGTTTTTAATGTCTGTCCTCTAGTTTCTAAAATCAGTGACATTCAGTATGTTTACCAATTGATCATTTTGTGTAACGTACATTGTATAAGCTATACAACTGATATAAACGTGACTATACACTTATAAAATCACTGTACACATTACGATATATAAGCACACACACATCCACCCCTACATCACTAGCCACTGAGAGCTCAGGACCGCTAGGCTTTGACTTCTTTCCTCTCCTGGCCCTGGGGATCCCAGAGGCCAAAAGGTTCCAGCATTTGGAACTGAAGCTGCCACCTTGGGGATGGCTAGGGTAAGGGGCTAAGGGAAAGATGTGCCAGGGTCCCAGGCAGGGGAACGAGGCTCATGGAGAAGCTATTCTGTGAATGGATTTTTACTGGTAACACAGTAGTTTTGTTTGAGGGACAGAATAGTGGAGGAGACTGGCAGGCGGCCCCGTGCAGGGCAGACCAGTCTCACGGCTCAGAGGCAGGTGACAGTGGAAACACAGTCTTTCACGCGTGCTCAGAAAAGTAGAGGCAGTTGGCAGAGGGGACCAGCCAAGGAGAAACCCTTAACTTCAAGTTCACTCATTCCTCCTCCTCCGCCCATACACTCGGGTACTAAGGCTTTAGGACAGGCCCTGAAAACGGCCCCAGCCGACTGCAGGACGTGCCACGGAGGCGCCCGTGACCTCTCCACAATGCAGCTCCACCCTTCCCACCAACAGTCTGATGCATGGAGTTCTGTCCACAGGACAAAAAACCTCGTCATCTAAAAATCTGAAATCAGAGGCTTACCATTGAAACTGCAGGGCTTGACACAGCAAAACCAGCATGTCAAGATAATAATTAAGATGCATTTCTTCTTTGACTCCAATTAGAAAACAGGTGGGAACCAGGTCCGACAGACAGGAGAGAGAGGGGCAGGGAAACTTCCGTCCCGTGAATGTTGTGTTTGTGCTTCGGGAGGGCAGGGGAGGGGGTGCCCGTGCGCTGGGAGACGCCGCTCCCAGGAGGCCTGCGGGTCTTGTCTGCCCAACTTCACCCCTTCCTCAACCCATGACTTAAACATCCTCAAACAAGACTCCACATTCTACACGTCCCCTTCAAGAAATGCTACTGAAATACGTAACACATACACGTGAACCAACTCAGTTATAGTGCCTCTATTTAAAAAGGTAAAAATTTCATGGGCAAACAGTACCCCTCTGAGATAGATACAGATGGGTATTCAGACATATATACACATGGTTTCAGTTGTATGTACTTGCCCTGACACTCCGGCATGTGGCAATTAATACATGAAGTAATTAAAGTGAATCTGAGTGATCTCAGCCCCAAAGCAAAAGGTGTGATTCCTCATGAAATATGCTTTCTGGATAACTACAAAAATCTCTTTCCTTAACCAAATTCTATATAAAACTGTGAATAAACAGGAATGCTAAGTTTTTTTTTTTCCCCTATGGTATTATCTATGATCAAACAGCCATATACAGACCAGACATGGAAACTATTCTGAAAGCTGGCAGACCACATTTGAGGAAGCATATTTCATTTTTCAATGAGACAACTCTGAAAAATAAATGCAATTCAATGAACGTGGGATTTGCTAAGAAAGAGTTAAAAAACCCAAAAGCCGTACCTTCTTTTCCCCCCAGATCTTATTAACTGTGTGTTTTCCTCTCCGGGAACTGGCGTGGTCGATGACGTCGTCGTGCACCAGGCTGGCAGTGTGGATCATTTCTGCTATTAAGGCTATGGTGCGCTGGCTGGCTTGCACATCTCTAGTTAACAGAAAGCAATGCTTTTTTAACACAGACGCCACCTATAACCTTCTCAGCAATCATCTTGTGAAAACTGGACATCAGATCTAGGATAAAGAATTTTATTTCTCTAAGAGAAACTGCATAAAAACTTCGGCTTCCCTACATAGCCGATTCTATCTTCTGGAGAACATATTAAAAACGCAGAAGATACCCTGCACCAGGATTATGTTTTAGGGACACATTAAGAAGTAGAATTTATATAATTAACGACAGAAAAAGGATAAACATCTTAGAAGTCTGGGTATCAGGCTGAAGAACTGTCTTTATGTCTTGTAACGGTGGTCTGAGTCAGTTGATCAAGTTTACAATCAGGTTATAATTAAATCCCAGGGATGGATGGGGAAGATGGGGAAGACGGGTGAATTTAATATTAGCTTAAATGTTTAGTAAGAAGACCTGCTGGAATCCCTAATTCCAATTCATATTTAACCTGCAAATTAGAAATTTAAATGTTCCCTTCCCAGATTTAACACAAAACACTCCCAAGAAGACAGACTGATGTGAGTTTTACAGTTAAAAGGGAACCCCATTTCTTTTTAATTATCATCATCTATGCGAATTTTTAAAAACTGAATTTCCAAAAAATCAAACTGAGGAAAATAACCAGCTGAATTTTCTGAACGTAAAACAGAAGGCTGGCTTAAACACATGCTAACCAAACGTTTCACTTATTCCAATACCTTACTTTGCAAATATCACCACGTTCTCTCTCAGAGGAGAGAAGCGTTAGAGGGATACTGAAATGTGGCTTTTTCTTTAAAAAAAAAAATCTAATCTGAACATCTGCAAAAGCCAGTGCTCATCCGAATTCCTCAGATCTAGCAGAAGCCATGAAAAATGAAGTGGAACTGCACTACAGACGCTGGGATTTAACCGCAAACACCGAATCAGCCCGAACGGTATCTTCCTGACTTGCTTTAAATGTAATTTTAAAATGTGGTGCTTTGCCGGCAACTCTTAAGATTTTTAGAACTAAACCTCAGAACCTTCCAACTGCTGTGAGCCCGGAAATCAACTGTAAAGTGCTGCTCATTATTTATTAATATGTCACAACTTCAACAGTTCTAGATGCTTCCGATCACAACACATTTTTTGGAGGGGCAGGAGTAAAGCAACCGAGAAAGGGGTACAAATCATCCTGCGAAACCACTTTGGTTGAGGAGAAAATGGACTAAGCAGCTTCTAAGCTTTTTCTGAATCCCTCAGCAAGCCATTTACAGAGCCTAGAGAAGGGAGCTTGGACCTTAAATATTTTTCAGGTAAATTTACTGGATCCTGTCTTACCTGAGTTGCTTGTGTAAGAACAGATGTAGCCTTATACAGTTGTTTTTTTAAAAATAAATATAAAGGCTATGTTTTTAGAATATTTTCTCAACTGAATTTCACTCACTGAAATATATACCTGCTACTGGTTAACAGCAGATCTGACGTGAAAACAACTGGTAAGACTCGAGCCTTCCTCACACATCTACAGGTTGGGTACCACGTCCATCAGCACAAACCACGTCGGCAGGCAGGGCCCCTGCTGTCGAGCTGCACTCGGACAGGAGTGCTCACTGAGATGCTGGGGCTTTTGTCTTTGTTTTAGTGCCTTCCAAGTACAAAGATTTCTTACAATAGTTTGAAATTTCATAGACTCTACATGTATGTAAAAAATGCCATATTGCATGGCTAAATTCCCGACGGGTGAAACAGGATTCCTGCTTAGAATGTTCTTCCTTGGCATTGTGACACAGCCCCTACCTAGGAGAAACATATTTTAGACACTTTATCATTTTTCCTGATGTACTTTTTCCTCTACAATGAGGCTTTGGTGTGTGTCAGCTTCTATCTGGAAAACACCGCCACAGTGTGTCCACAGCACAGCACTTGGTCTGGAACCCGAATCTCCAGATTACAAGAACAACTCGCACTGTCTTTAAGACGAAATCTTGGAAGTACCAAACTGAGTCATGCCATCAGAAGCTGGGCACCATTTCTACTTCCTGCTGCCACACTTTCCCAACTTTGGGAGACGAGCTAAGAAAAGCCAGCCAGGCGATAGAGTGGGAGAAAAGGGGGCCCCTTGTCCTGAAAGGCGGCTCTGTCCACCATGCGATGACTCAGCCAGCCCCCTGGAAAGTCGTTTCCCCTCTTCATTCAGTTTAAAACAAGATTTTCATAATGAAGAATTTCCAGCACAGACAGAAATAGGTGGAGTGACAGAATGATGACCTCCCCACATACACTTCACCAAGCTCACATGTGAGTTAAAGAAAATACTTTGTTCCCCTAGTCACACTAATACATGCAAATTACAAGCAAACCCCCGATGGGAAAACTGGCTCTAAAAAGAAAATCAGACCTTGTCAATGGATCATCTTGGCTCGGAACAAATGAGGGAAGCAGATAAATTTAAGTAGTAAATGTGGTTTCACTTTAACAGAGACAGAGACACTTAAATTCCCAAATCTACACAAGGTGGATGGAAAACAGAGTTCTCCAGTGGCATACAGGGGGCTCTATTTCTATTTCAAAATCTTCTGTTTTTTTATCTTTTCTGACTTCTAAAGATAAGTGTTTCATTTTGCTTGTTAGAACTCTGACAACCTTAATGTTTCTTAAATATCCATCTCTGGTCCACCATGTCAAAATCAGTACTCTTGAAAAGACAAGACTGAAAATCCCTCAGACATAGGAACTGCGATCTCTAACGGTGGGGCTCGGAACTGGCATCTTTAAGCAGCATGCCTGGTGATTCTGATCACAAAGTCAGGGAGCTGCTGCTCTGTACGTGGGGGTGCTCACTGGACTTGGGGTGAGCCCACATGGAAGCTTTTCCTCAGAGGAGTCTTGAGCCAAGCTCAGCCTCAGCAGACCCCCTGCTGCACTGCCTCTAAACCACAGGCATGAGGGGCGACTCTGCTACCTGAGAAGTGACCTGAAACCTGGGGGCTCAGTTCAGAGGTCGTGTGATAGATTCCCTGAGTCTCTTCACAGCCCCATGTGCAGAGTCTCCCCTGCTCTGAACAGCACAGCCACGGGAGGGTGGCCGTCCTTTCCTCTGACACGCCGCATCATCTCGAGTTTTAAAGGACACACGTGGTCATGCATCAGTTTGGTACGGAAGAAACTTCAAATGCAAACGAAGTCTCTGTCTCAAATTCCTCAGGACGTAAACTGCATCTCCTAGGTGTTACCTGAGGGAAGTCCATATATTCAAGTGTTCTGTGTGCTGAGCACTATCTACACAGACTCACATAAAATTTTATCTTTATCTGCCACTGAGCTGACTTGCTGCAAGTTTGAGTCCCTCAACTTCCGACACCGTGGAAGTGTTCTGCTTTACCCCAGGTCTGCACTGTAGGTCTGGGGGGTCCAGGAGAGGCACCTGCAGAGAGAGCAAGGAGACCCGCCAGGCACACTCCTTGCACTGATGTGACAGGGTGTAAACCACGGGGTTTGTATCTGTTCTCTGTGGCTCTGTGACAAATTACCACAAACTGGATGGTTGTATCAGCAGAAATTCTCTCTCGGTTCTGGGGACCATAAGCCCAAAAACAGTTTCCCTGGACTGAAATCGAGGTATCGGGAAGGCTCCCCACAGCGGCTGGAGGGGAGACGCCTCGGCTCGTGGCCGCATCACTCCCACCTGGCAGGAGCAGCCGTCTTCACGTCTCTCCTCTTCTGTGCGTTTCGGTCTCCCTCTGCCTCCCTCTTTCAGGAGACAAGCATTTGGGACCCATCAGCATTAGCACGTGGATACCCTTTGTGGGGCTGTTTTTCAGCCTAACGGTTTACCTTCTCCAGCCTCTTCTGCTGATGCTCAATGTTCCCTTTTCAGTGATCAGATTCTTAAAATGACCTGACTTTATTACATCTGTCTAAAGTCTTTTTTCTCCTCATTGTTGACACGACCTTGAAGGGTCTGCCCTTCCCAGCAGCGTTGCAGCTGCATGCGGGGGACTGAAGGAGCCCCTGGACGCCGCCTGCTCTCCGCTTCGCACCCTCGGCCCCCACTTCTGTTTCCTGGCTTTGTCTCTGCGCACAGCAATCTTGTTCCCTCCTCACCTGCACACTAAGGATGATGCTACTGGCAGGTGCATCCAATGTGCCTCCCATCTGAGGAAGAGCAGAGTGGGATGCCTGCGAGCCCACACTTGCCGAAGCAGGTCAGTCACCTTCATAAACCCAAATAAACACACCGGGCTAGAGTGAAGACTGTCTTTCTTTGCTGGGAAAGGCAGTTTTAAGCTTGATCCTAACAGTCATGAATCCATTAGGAGTTTTAATATCAAGAGAAAAGAACTGACATCCAAGGACATTCAGCAGCTCCTGAATAGTCAGATTTATCTCCAGATGAAAACAGACGACGGCAATGCGGCATCATAAATGATGCAGGCTTCCTGCTACTGTTTGTTTACTTGCTACTGAAGAAGCACCGCCTCCTGGAATCCTTGGACACCGGAGAGCGACCCCCGTGAAGTTCTATGGGGCCTGTGACCTATCCAGGCTGGCTTTCCCTGCGGGATCCAGGGTGTGACAGAATAATGCAGCATTTGGGTTTTTCAAATTGGGCACAGCTGATGGAAGTGGAGAGGTTGATTCCTGCAGCAACCAATCAGCCTTAGCGGGGCGGTGGCCGCTGGAAGCGGAGGCTGTGCGCCCGGCATGTTCACAGCTCCATAGCCGTCTTGCTCTCATGATGTCGCCTTACACTTGAGCTTGACCTCGCCCACGAAATGGACACCATCTGGCCATAAGAGCCTCCTCTGCCTCAGCAGGTGTCCCTTTTTACACACTTTACTCCCAGACCCATTCTAGCAATGAGTAAACCCATCAAAAGTGCCACACCCTAGGTTAAAGACAAAAACATTGCTTTTGGCACCAACCCTCCTGACTACCCCATAAACAGCCACTGCAGTAGCTGGTTCAATGACTCGGAACACACAGAAACCAGGAGCAGTTCCAGCATCGTCAGTGGCCTGACGCGGGGAGTCATGCATGTGAGCCGGGGCTGTGATGACTGCTCTGTCACAGCTTCCCTAGGGCAGGCTTTTGTCATTTCCTTTGTCTTCATGAGAATCACAAAAGTTACTTCCTCTGAGTTTAAGATTTTTACCACGTTTGGAAACTTGACGTATTAACTACTGTGAACACTGCCTCTTACAGTGTTTTAGCTAATCAGCGTCTGGCTTTGTAACCTGGGATAGTGGGAGTCGATGCCACTCGACCGTACAATCAAGATCAGCCAGTCTGCGCCCAGTGCAACTTGAGCAGGCCCGTTATCCCAGTCACTGGCAGTGACATCCACTTTCCAGTGCGGGAAGATTCCACCGGGAACAGATGGCGTCAACAACGATGGTAAGAACAGGTGCCCTCAACGAGGCCGCTGAGCGAGGCCGCTGAGCAGGAGAGGCGGGGCTTACGAGGGACAAGATGCTGTGTTGTATTCGGTAAGCAGAGCAATTTCATAGAAATCGATTTCTTACAAAGCTCACTTTTGATCTGGATTCTTGATAAAGTCAGTCCTGACCTACAGGTAGTTTGGGTTTGGCTGAACTCTGCTGTGGGCTGAGTTCTCCCGGAAGCAGACTCTCCAGTTGAAAGTACAGGATGTCTGCTCAGGAGTGCCCGTCGGGGGTGGGGCGGGTGGGGGGAAGAAACAGCACTGGGTGGAGGGAAAAGCTCGTGCAACACAGGCCCCTCCATCGCGTGCTCTGAGCTAGAACAGCCCTTCGTCTCCGGGTCCTCGGATGTGGACTGGCTCGTTTGAGAGGATTCTCTGCAACCCTTTATGACGCAACCCTTAAGAGGCTGAGAACCGAAGGCTCTTCACCAACAGCACCTGGCCCGGCAAAGGGTCATTCCCTGAAGCAGGGTGTGGGCCGCGTGGCTCAGAATCCGGCGTAACTGCTTCCTGGGCCTCTCAAGTCTGATCATCTGCTGCGTGCATTCCTACTAGACCCGCCCAGGTACTGGTGCTTTTCAGGACACAGAGGAAAAATAGTCTTGAACTTCTTGGGCCATATTACCCTGAGAACATATTGTAATCTATGTATACTTTTCCTCAGAACAATGCAAACACACAAAAGATGTTGCATACGATTCTAAGGGGCTCACAGACACCCCCGTAACTCCCACAGACCTCAGGTGAAGAATTCCCAGTAAAGTAATTGAGGGTGGAACATACAATGCACAACTGTAGAGCTTACTAAAGGAAAAAGAGAAAAATCAATAGAAGGTAGCCACCCTCCCCCATCACTTCTTAAGGTATCTGTTTATCCTGTTTTCTCAAATCCCCTCCAGGATTACCGCTAACGTACGGAATACACGTCTCAGAAGCAAGATGACAACGTCTGAGAAGCCTTAGGGGAGCCATTACACCTCAACTACAAGGTGATAAAGCAGGTCTCTCTCAATTCTGCCAAGGCCAGCAGGCGGCAGGTGAAGCCCTGGAAGGGGTTCTGGGGGCCCTGGCTGGAACCCGAGGCCAGTGTGCTCCTGCCCTGAATCTCCAGCCACTGCCACCCCACATTGTTCTAAACCACTCTCAGCAGCAAGATCACAAACGGCCAGAAGCTCTCCCCCACCCCCTCCCTGCTTTAAGTGGCATGGAAGTGACAGTTAGATATTTAGCCCATTAAGAGCCTGATCCAAAAGGGTCCTTAGGAAGTAAGAATTCTCAAGAAATTGGGGTTCGGAGGGTAATACTGTTAGCCTACTCTACCACCCAAATCATGCTACATCCCAGTGCTGGACACAGCCTCCGTCCGGTGCCTCCAGTAAGCCCCACTCCCACCACCCACGGGGACGATGAAGCTGTAGCTAGAACATCCCTGGGGAAGGCCGAGTTGAACTTACTTTTTAAACTAGCAATGCCTTTTCTGTGCTACAGTCTCCCATTTTTTCCTGCAACCGACATTTATGCAGTTTCAATGATGAAAAGTGGAAAGACTCTGACTATGAGGATAACAGTGGACAGGATTGGAAGCAGTGCAGAATATCTTCCTTCCCATGTTATCTCTGAGGGTGACGAACTGTATTATGCATTAATCTGAGACATTAAAAACATAAACACACACTCTCTCTAGACTAGTCAACCAGGGACGATTTGCTCATCGGGACATTCTAGCGAGGTCTGGAGACACTTTTTGTTTGTCATCAACGTGGGGAGGAATACGACTGGCATCTCACGGAGACAAGCCAGGTGTGCTGGCAACCAACCTACGATGCACACAACTGTCCCCACAGTAAAGAACGATCTGGCCCCAAATGTCAGTAGCATCAAGGCCGAGAAGCCCGGTTCCAGACCACCTGAGAGGTATTTCCCGTCTGCTTCAGAGGGAGCATTTCTGCTGCTCTGCCTTTCAGGTGACGTGAAATTGGTCCTGATGTTGGGCGAATGGTCATTGCCAGAGATTTCACTGCTCTTTCAGATAACACTGAGAGTCCCTGGAGAGTTCTCCAGGTGAGCGGAGCGGGAGACACCCCTGAGCACACTGTGATGCGCTGGGGGGCACAGTAGTGGGGCACAGACGGCTGTGGGCAGAGGTGAGCCTGTGCTCGCAAACAACTTCATTCCCACAGCACCTCAAACTCAGGGCCGGCAAACCTTGAATGTTACCCGCCAAGGAAAAGGAATGTGACACAGATGTTCAACACTAGGGAAATGTATCAGTACACTCTGGTCTTCTGGAGTTTCTAGCAACAGATGACTTGACATAAAAATAATAACTGAAGACACTCCAGTAATGTGGCAAAGAGTTTAAAAAATAATGGTTCTGGGTAAATCTTTTGTCTTAAGATTTCCTTTAATATTAAAAAATTGCAGTTGTTTTAACATTTTAAAATGTATATATATTCGAAACACAGAAGTTCAAAATATTATCTTTTAAGATTTCTCTGTTTGTGAAGGCTGCAGGAAGTTAGGCACTGCAGAGGGTGTGGAGCCCAGAATCTGGGTCTGACTCATGACTTTATAAAGACCAACCTTTGCACTAACAGCTCAGTGTGCACAATGATCACAAGTATGCATACATCCTGGTATTCACTTCTCAGTGAGAAAATGGATTTTGGCTTTGAAAATGCTTTCCAAAATGTTTATTCGCAGCTGAAGTTGTTGTTCCCCTATGGGCATTTAAAAGTGTGGGACAGGAACATGCCCAGACCAGACTCCAGGGTGACCTGAGAAACGCAAAGCCAGAAACTACTCATCACAAAGTGAATTCTCAGCTACAAGCTGCTTCCTACACAGGAAACTAAACGGTAACCTTGGGAAGGAAGGTTGGCCAAGTATAAAACCAACAGAGGAGAGAAAATGAGTAACTCACCGGGAGTTATTATGATGAATGTTACAGGCCCGGGCCATTAGCACCACAATAATTGGTCGAAAGGCTTTTCCTTTCCCATCAAAGTAGTATTCTGACATCTCCTTCAGTTCTGTTGTAGATATAAATAGTTCCTGAAATAAAGTTTCTCTGTGTCAGTATGGCATCATACCTGCACCAAAAAAGCAACGGGCTTTCTTTCGTAAAACTTTGATTTTAGTGTATTCATGTCAGTTGAGAAACTCAGCACTCAGGTCCAACATTGTATGACCACAAACCTGGCTGCCCTGCAGCTGGGCCATGAGCGGGGCCTGGCTGGCCCCTGCCTGCCCCAGTGACCCCAAGAGACAGCAGGCGTGGCAGGGAAGCACCAGGTGGCCCAGTGACAGCTGGACAGAGAGAGAAACAGAGCTGGCTGCAGCTTGGAAGATGGAGGGGGAGGACAAAGACGGGAGTGTGGGAGCCAGTGAAGCAGGAGGCTGGGGGGTGTTGGGGTACCAGGGGCACAGGCTGAGTCTGGCTCAGCCATTTAGCCACAGACAAGCCAAAAGTTCACAGAGAAAGTGTGAGACATGGTTTACCTGATGGGAAGGAGCTTACAATTGAGTTGGGGAAGCAAAATTTTAATATGAACTATTCAGTAGTTATACAGTGGTATAACTTGAACAATTAAATGCATTGAAAGTTCAGAGAATGGGGAGATCAGTGTGGACGAGAAAAACCGAACATTTCATGGAGGAGATAAGCTTTGGGGATTAAAGGATAAGGAGAATTTTGATTTGTGAAGAGATGGGGGGGGGGTGTTTCTTGTCTCTGCCACCAGGGACTTACTGGGGTAATCAGAGCTGTTGCCCCAGGAGCGGTGGGAGATACCTATGGATCCAGAGCCCCTGAGGCTCTGAGGCGAACCCTAAGGCAGGGGGACTGACGGCAGGGGAGGAGGACGAGGAGGGGAAGGGAAAAGCTGAGTCTAGGATGCTTCCGAGGTTCCTGGGTGGCAACCTTCAATCAACAAGAAAAACAAGAGAAAGAACAACTCGTAGGGGAAAGTAAAGCTTCAGATCTGTCAGGTTTGAGACCATCACGGACACCCCATGGAGCTGCCCAGTGAGCAGTCAGATATATGTGTTAAGGAGACAGAATTCAATCCGGACCAGAGATATTATCTGGGACTCGTAAGCATGGAAAGGGGTAAACTGGAGACACAGAGAGAGAAGGGGCCAAAAGAACCCCAGGGAATGGGAAAACAAAGGGGGTGGCGAGGAGGGGTCGAGAGGGACCTAGGACGCCAACTGAAGGATGGCCAGGGTCAGAGCCAGGGAAGAGCAGAAGACAAGGGATGGGTGTTGCGGAGGCGAGTGGTCACCAGCGTCCAGTGTTGAAGGAGGCCAGGAAGATACAAACTGGAAGTGCCGCTGGATTTAGAGCCACTGATGACCTGATCAAAGGCGCTTCAGAGGCGAGAGAGGCTGGAAAGGAAGGCACACTGAGATGGTGGAGTAATGGGGAGGGGCAACAGAGAGAGGGAGTGGGGCACGTGCGATGGGGATGGGCGGGACTCGGGGCCAAGGGTGAGTCCTTTAAAAGACAGACAGGAAGAAGCTGGAGCATCTGAAATGGATCTGAGACAGAATGAAGAGGACAGGGAAATACAGACGGGGTTCCTAGAACTCCAAGGAGGAGGCAGAGGGGATGGGACTGTCACCAGAGGTCCAGGGACTACAGTGGAAAGGAGGGAACACTGACTTCCCTGGGTGGGAGGAGGAGGCAGGCCCGCAGCCGGCCCAGACTGTCGGTGACACAGAGCAGGCGTGCGAGGAGTTCCTCCTTCATGGCCTCTGCCTGGTCCACCAGAGAGGAAGCGGCGGTGCTGAGAAATCAGGACAGTGGGGTGGGGGCTGCAGGGGGAAAGCACAGAACCCTGAAGGGGAAGGAAGTCGACGGGGGACATGTGACTACTTCAGGGCAGCATCTGAGAACCCACATGAGGTTGGGGACCACTGAAAGTTGGGGGGATAGGATGATTAACGAAGAAAGGCCTCTTTGGGGGCAGCCTGGCACTGACACCCAGAACTGGACAGGAAGACAGGAGCAGGAGTCACCGGCGGCTTCAGGGCCTCACCAGGCCTGGAGCAGGTGACGGATTTGGAGAGGAAGGGTTAGAGAGGACTCTTTGGACCTCTATATGTGCTGCCTGTACCTGCACCTGTGCCTCCCCCTCACCTAGTTTCCCAGCTCTGGCGTCACCCCCCACTGGATGGTAACACATATTGCATTCTCCACGTTGCCCCATCCTTGTTGCTCAAGACACATTTGAAACTTGACATTTGCGAGTCAGGTCTGTGATGGCACAGCACACGTCTGGAAATCTGCCCTGTTGTCTCGTAGTTCTAAGAGATCAACATTACTTCACAGCATCGCAGAAACAGCTTACCTTCCTGATGTCCTCATACAGACCTTTCAAGTCTCTCCAACCAAGTTTAAAAGGATCGGTGTACCTCTCACCGCTCCGTGTCTTACTACAGCAGCACGCTGCTGGCGTCGTGTGATGGAACCTGGGAGCAGCAGAAATGCACACAATGGAAGACAGTGCTATTTTACTACGTGAGACAACTTCATTTTTAAGTTAAGAATTATATACACCCATGCATATACATGTAACAGAGTCAGATGATGGAAAACTGAAGCCCAGATACTTGCTGGAAATTAAGCATTGAGACAAAAAGGTCATTATAACTTAGAAAAACATACAGAATTTCATTCTTGCTCAACGATATACTGATAGTATATTTTTATAACCAGGATCTTGGGAACCCACAAAATCAAAGAAAGACTAAACTATGTTCATTGTGCTCAGAGTTGATTTTAAATTTTATTGTACAGTCAGGCTTCTGTATCTGCGAGTCTCGCATCCATGGATTCAACCAACCTCAGACTGAAAATTTAAAAAGTTCCAGAAAGTTCCAAAAAGCAACACTTGAGTTTGCCACGCTCCAGCAACTATTTACATAGCATTTACACTGTACTTACAACCATTTGCATAACATTTACATTGTATTAGGTATTATAAGTCAAATAGGGATGATTTAAAGCATACGGGAGGATGTGCATGGTTTATATGCAAATATGACACCATTTTATACAACAGACTTGAGCATCTGTAAATTTTGGTATCTGAGGGGAAGGGTACTGGAACCAATCTCCCATGGATACTAAGGGATGACTGTATTCTCATTTTTTGAACACGCAGAGATCACATAGAGCAAGTACTGTGGTGCTTAGTTAAACAACATTCAGTGTGGTAGACCAGTCCACCACAATTCAGAACAGAAATATACTGGCAATGTGACTAGTAATTTTAGCAGGTGCAGTATGGATATAAACTTACCGTGATATACTATACATAATTGGAAAGGCAGATGTTAAACTCTTCACAAGATTAAAATAGGACACCTATAAAATAAAAGTATTAATAATATGTGTGAAAAACTTCAAGACTAGATTTTTGCAAGAATATCCATGAAAAATTTGTTTATAACACGAAATAAAAACTCCCATAATTTATAATAAATGTAATCTTTATCTTTTAGTTGTCCATTTAGAGACTGCAGACTTGACAAAAATGTTTTCTTTCCTTATTATAAAAGTAATATCTGTCATAACAGAAAATAAGAAAAAAGCAGAAAAACCATTTATAATCTACCCTTTCCCCTAAAGAACACTCCATAATCATATCTATCACTTCCTTTAACTAAGGCTGGGCACTAAGTAGTAAGGATTAGTGTGATTTACACTCTCTTAAAGTCTTAAACTGGTTTAAAGCAAAGAATAATCAAGACCCCCAAAGCATCAGCCCAGGTGGTGGGAAAGAAAGGATTTCAATGTTTAGGAAGAAATTCACAGGTCCACAAACACTTCCTATTTTAAGTTATTGCTCCTGAAGATACTTGGAAATGGTACTTTTTGAAAAGTCATGTTAACAAACAAGCAAGCTCAGTATCACATTTTGGTAACATTAGAACAACAAAAGACTGTGTTTTAAAAGATTGAAAGGTGGTGACGGCAAAGAGTAGTCCCAGCAATTATTGTGCACTATTAAGAACCAGGAATTGTGACAGGCACTGGGGACCCAAAGATTACAGACAGCCAATCTCGAAGAATTCAGGGACACGGGCATTTCAGAAATTACTAACTTACTAATTAATGTGGGAAGGGCTCTTACAGAATACTGGAAGAAACCACTTTGACAAAGGATGGATTTAGCACAAGAAAAATAAAACGAATCCACTCTATAAGTAATCAAGTCTCACAACGTGCTTTTACACTGACCCTTAACAACCACTTGTTCTTATAAAGCCAGGGAACTTGAAATTCTTGAAAAACTGCTAATACAGATGTTTACATTGTATCAAAAGGAAAAAAGCACCTACAGAAACTGTGTGCATTATGTGCTTCCACTGAAAATGTATACACTGACACAAGTAAAATCCACAGAGAACAGAGTTTGAAAGTGTATAAGCCAGGATATTAAACAAAAGTTATTCTGGAACAAATAGAATTGTGGGAGTTGTTTGTTTTATTCCATTTTCTGGTTCACATTTGATTTTTCTCTAGATTGCTTTAGACATATTAAAATGACAATAGAGGCTCATTTTATCAGGCAGGTGGTGGCCAAAGAAGACGGTCTGAGTTCTGTTCTCACCATTGCTTTTCATATTCATTAGACCAGTAAGAATATTTATTACATCCCAGGTATTACAATGTCCCAAGAAAACAAAGTGACAAGCCTCCTGGTTGATTTATTTATTTATTTATTTATTTACTGTTTTATGACAATTAACCTTCTTCTTTCAGCTTTCATGGGTAAATGAGCCAGTAAAAACGAATTCAGTATTTTATTAGAATACTTATTCAGTGTGAGACCTGACCTCTGACCTGGGGTGAAGAGTTAAAACCCCACAGCTAACAGAGTGCCCTGAATCACAGGCGGTAGAGCTGTGTAACCTGTTAGAAAGCCTGCTCTCTGGAAGGTGGATCTTGGCTCAAATTCCAGGATTTCCTGGCGGTTACCTTGCGATATCTTTCTGTGGATCGTATCTACTCAAAGAAACACTGAGGTTAATTGAGAGAGTGTGTGGAAAGTTCCTGGCTGTATACATTTAATATGGTATCTATTCAATCAAACTGTTTTGTATGGGAAGAGTACCTTCAGGACATGTTTTCCAAAGTGAGGTTAGAGAAGCCCTGAAGAGCAGGAAACTATTATTAGAAGGGAGCCAGGGAACTGGAGTCA